AAACCGAACTCACTGCCATTGAGTCAGATCCAACTCATAACGACCCCTCCTTGTGTTTCCAAGGTGGTATCACTACTACAGAAGTAGATTGCCCAGTCTTCCTTCCGAGGAACAGCTGGTGGGTTTGAACTGCCAGCCTTCTGGTTAGCCGTCAAGTGCCTTAGGCACTACGCCAAGAGAGTGACCAGTAGGGCTTTTAAAATTATTTTATTGGAAAATAATGCAAACATTTAAGTAAGAATTAAGGACTTTGTTGTATCAAATTTTGACCTTACACTTCCCTTACTTGCTGTAAAATAAATCGAGGTCCTGTATTCCTTCCCTGGATCTCATTCCCCTTCTCTCCCCAGAAGTAACCATTTATCATGGGTTTAGCATTTAAATCATTCCTATTCCAATTTTCATATTTTTTCTATGTTTCTGAGGAGCGCTTGTGGTGCAGTTAAGGCATTCAGCTACTATCCAAAAGGTTGGTGATTTGAATCTTCCAGCTGCTCCGCTTTACTGGAGAAGGATAAGGCAGTCTGCTTCCATAAGGAAACCTTATGGACAGGTCTACTCTGTTGTATAGGGTCGCTATGAGTTAGAATTGATGACAGTGGATTTCTATGTTTCTGTATATAAATGGATGTTGTTTTGTAGATTCTTAAACTTTTAAGAATGGAAGCAAACTGTATGATATCAGTCTGGAATTTTCTCTCTTCAACTTTGTGTTTTTTATTGATCCAGGTTAATGTGTGTAATTCTACTTTTTTATGTTACATTTATTTACAGAATTGCATTGTCTAACTATACCAGTATCCATTCTCCTGTTAGTGCACAAATTATATGAGTTGATTCTTTAAAGCTGTTTTCAGTATTTAGTTGAAAAGGCAAGGATTATTTGAGTTTTATCGATGGAGTAATTGAGAGCAACTTCCTTTTGGAGGCAAGATAAGCATAGTAGTTAAAAACACGGATTCTGTTTGGATTTGAATCTCGACTTTACTGTACTGTTGACTAACTCTGTGATCTTAGGCAAGTTTCTTAATGTCTCTGGGTCACAGTTTCCTTCTCTGTAAAATGAGTGTAGAAGTTGTGTCTGACTCATGGATTTGCACAAAGGGCATGGGGTTGGCATTTTCTGACCTCTGACATCACAAGGGGGAGACAGAAGGATCAGCAGCAACAGCCCAAAGCTGATTCCTGTGAGGCAGAGTTCAGATATGCCATCGCCCTCCAATCTTTCTACCAGTTTTAACACCAGCCTTCCCTCCCATAGTACTCTTTACTTTTTCCCTAGGTTCAGTAATTCATTGTGGTGGCCACACAGAGCTCATGATTATGGGGTTTATTGGGGAAGTGTCATATTACAACTCAGGTTCAGGAACACTCAGGATACAGTTCTTCAATCAGGACAGCCTCCCCTTGGTCATTCCCATAGGAATGACTTTCTTTGGCCTTTGGCCTCTCAGCCTGCCTTCTGCCCTGCTTGGGCAAGTGTTAAAAAGCTGTTTTAGTTTTGCCAATAGGTGCATCCCACTCTGCCAGCAAGCCTCCTGCCAAAAGGCCCTCAGCTTTCTTGCTCTGTGGACCATCAGACCTGCCACTCTGTCTTGTGCTGGTCTCTTGGTTCTGCAGCCTCTGATGCTGCTTTTCTCTGGGTCCAAGGATGTGATCCACTCCGTCTCTCCTCTGTCTTGATGGTAGTAAGATTCCCCTTTTCTACCTCTGGGATGGCTCATTTTACAAGCCTAGCAAGATGGCAAAACTGACCAATCCACCTGCTAGGGTTCTATACACCTTAATTTCTATGCCCTCCCCCAAGAGTGCCATGTACCTTATTTACATTATTAGTAAGCTGTCCAATCCTCTTGGTGGGCCAAAAGCACCTTACATTTGCGTAGTTCCACCTGGTCATCTGTTGGGAGTCACAGACACCATGGCTAGAAGAGCCATATTAATTCACTTCAGCACAGGATTGTTGTGAGGATTAGTTGAGATTAATTCATGTAAAATGTTTACCACAGTACCTGGCACATACAATTATTCAATAAATATTTTAACTATTTAATTTTTTTTTTAACAAGGGCTCATGAGGGATCATGCTGCAATTTACTTTTACTTAATATATCTGTATGTATAGATCTGTCTCAGTCTTTTAAATTCTATGTTATTTTATAAGATACATGATTCAGTTTCTGGGTCAATCCTACTTCAGAATTTATTTAACCCATCATTGAATTTTTTCAAAGGGCTTTTATGTATATTCCCAGTAAAATATTTTTATATTCTATACTGAGCTCTGGTAGCATAGTGCCTAAGGCACTTGACTGCTAACCAGAAGGCTGGCGGTTCAAACCCACCAGCCACTCCTCGGAAGGAAGGTTGGGCAATCCTACTTCTGTAGTGATACTGCCTCGGAAACCCAAGGAAGGGTCGCTATGAGTCGGGAGCCGACTCGATAAATAACAACAACAAACTGCCTCAGGAGATTTCTTTAAACTCCTGAGTGCGTTTAAACTCTTCAGTGCATAAAGGATGTCATTAGTCCCAGTTTCCCTAAAGTGGAAAGTTAAAGAAAAATCAAAACAATGGAGACAACCCATGTGGCAATAAAAATCACTGCTTCCCATTGACGACACAGCAGTGTTTTTATTTGCTACTAACAGAGACTGTTTTTGTAGCCCAAGTACCCAGTCCCTTATCCTGCTCTTCAAAACCCGTATGTATTTTGGTATCAATCACAGAGAACCTATCCTGAAACCCACTGCCCCATTAAGCAAAGTTTGAAAAGCTGATGTTGTTACGACCTTTCTGTTCCTCGCTTTCTTGACTTTTTCCTGCAATTTACTCCTGACCCCTCACTTCCACTGCCTTTTCTTGTCTTTGTATCTCCTGCAGTCATCTCTCCCCTTTTACATCCTCTCTGTTATTTCCAGTTTTTAAGTTGGGGATTAAAGCTTTATGTGACTTTATCTTTCTTCCCCCAGATTAACAAGATCAAGTTACATTTTACATTGATAGGCAGGTTGGGTTTGATAGGCAGACGTGCTCATAATCCTCCCAACTGTTCTTCCTGACAGTTCCAGTTCCACCCCTTTGGATCATACAGAGCAAGTCTTAATTCTCTGATAGCCAGGCAGAAACGGAATTCTCCAAACTAAACATACCCAGCTATGTGCAGTTACGCTGCACATAACATCATATAGATATTTAGCCTTTAAAAAATTACAGAAAACAGTAACCCACACAAATTTACCTTCCTTTGTTTTATTTTCAGATTTAATCCAGGTAGCTTTTTTCACCTGTTCATTTGACCTGGCAATTAAAGGCATTCAGTCCCCTTGGTGTGATGTTTTTGACATAGATGATGCAAAGGTAGGTATTTTACAGTGTCTCTGCTTTTTCACATGATTTTTTTTTTTTTATAACTTGAAACAAGAAAAGTAAGGAACATTAACTGTTTTGTGACTAATTTGTAATTTGCCTTATGTAAAGAGAGATGAATTACTCAGATAGGTCCCACCTAACTTGTAAACTGGGTTCATAAACTCTGGACAACATTTTTTTTCATGGTGATTATATTTCTAAGTCTAACCTGGTTAAAAACCTATTTGACCCATCATCAAATTTTATTGCTAGAAGGGACTGTGGAACTAACATAATCCAGATTCTTTTTATAGGAAACCAAAGTTCAGATAGGAGGATAAATGATTTTTCCAAAAGCCTATTTACTTTATAACAGTCTTCAGAAGAAATTGAGTTCTGCATTCCACCCGATGATGACAGTAATTCATCCGCAGTTTCTGTCTCCACACTTCAGATTCCTTTTTTCTCCTCAGTCCTATTGTTCCCTTGCAGACATTTAGATTCTTGAAAAAGAAAAGCAGGTAGGGCCTCTGAAAAGTCAGTTTTGGGGTTTCAGGAACCAGAGAGGTGGGTTCAAAGAATGTTCATTGTTTTCTTAAGCATTGTGGGTAGCAGCACTGGACAGCATTCTGGTGGATTTGCCCTGCGGGTCATTCAGGAATCAGACTTCTGAAATTATACTCATCACTTGCACACACATAAATCAGTGTTCCTTATGAAAATGAATTATTAACCTCAAAATTTACTCCCAGATTTTGAAAAGAAGTGTACTATTTCCATGATTTTAAAAACAGGCTTTTAAACAGAGAGCTAATGTGTATTTGAAGGTAAGTAAGTGATTTATTTTGTTACTTAGACTTAAGTGACCAACAATCAGGTCAAAGATGGTAACATGATGGTTCTTGGTGTTGTGTCAGGGTAGGAGTGGGGGTCAGAGGTGAGTTGAGAAAAGAAGAAAAGGGCCCCAATGCATTGATGCTGTAGATGCCATACACCCGTAGTTAGTAAATGTGTTGTATTTCCCTTCTCTGTACTGATTCACTTCCTGATGATTGCTATTTTCCTCTGTCTCAAGTGCTCAGTTGTTGTTGTGTTGTTGTGTGCCATAGAGTCGGCCCCGACTCATAGCGACCCTTCCTTGGGTTTCCGAGGCAGTATCACTACGGAAGTAGGATTGCCCAACCTTCCTTCCGAGGAGTAGCTGGTGGGTTTGAACCGCCAGCCATCTGGTTAGCAGGCAAGTGACTTAGCCACTATGCTACCAGAGCTCCCCAAGTGCTCAGTACCCTACTCATTTCCTCTAATTATCTGTAATTTACTGTAACTTCAGAAACTTTCTGGTATACACTGTACTTAGGATGGCTGTATCTTCATCTTCCAAAGTGAGATAATGAAAGGGGCAGTACTAATAATTACGCCTGACCTGTGAGGTGTAAACTGAAGCTTAAGATCATCAAACACAGACATCAAAGTTGCCTCACTTCCCTTTCCTCACCATCTAGATTCCCTTCCTTTTTTTTTCCTTCTATTGAAAAAACTGATAAACACAGTTGAAATGATTTTCACTATTGTGCACATAACTGATGAGTATTCTGTAAGAGGGAAATCTACATTTTAATGCATAACTTCTACCCCTAAGTGACTCTAGTTGGTGGACTATTCTGCCTACCCTTTTCTGTTCTAAAGGTTGACATCCCCTGATTTAAGTGCTGAATAGGTTCCCTACAGTGAAAATACACATCTCCGGTCACAACCACCCTCTGCTTATTGATTCTCCGTCACCTACTTTTACTTCCCTCTTCCCCTTGTTTGAATCCCTCACCTTTCATTTTATACTTGCCTTTTGTGTGGCTTTGCTTTCTCAGCTGGAAGGTGTTTTGATATACTGCAAAAACCCTGGAAGTCAAGACCTGGGTTCAGGTAACACTGTGCCTTGCTTTCCACATCTCTTAGACTACATTAGATGACTAAGGAATACCCGTGGTGCTCTAAGGTTCTTTCTTCCTTTTCTTTTTTGGATTACTCTTTCATCTCATTACTGCTAATGAATTCCTTCTCTCTCTTTTGTTTTCCCTCAACTTGTTTTGAAAATTTCAAACTGGCAGATTTAGATTGCTCGTAACTTGAATATCTTCCAGCCTTAAGATTCTTCTGTGAGTTGTTCAGATGCTAACTCTCCAATAGCATTCAGCAATTGTTGTTGTTGTTATGTGCCACGGAGTCAGACCTGGCTTACAGCGACCCCTCCTTGGGTACGAGGTGGTATCACTACGGAAATAAATTGCCCAACCTTCCTTCCAAGGAGTGCCTGGTGGGTTTGAACCACCAGCCTCTGGTTAGCAGTCAAGTACCTTAGACACTACGCTACCAGAGCTCCTAAAAAGAGACAGCCCAGCTACCTGGCAGGAGTGACTGGAACCACCAGCCTTGGGTGTGGCAGGTGACTGCCTGAGGCCTGAGGCCATCCCCTAGGGCCCATTCAGCAGTAGGCTCAAGGAATCCTCACAGATTTCGGGAGCTCTTTTTTGTGTAATTCCCTCCTCTCTGACACTCTGCCCTGTTAATTCTAGTCCCTAAAGCCTTTCCAAACTGATCTGTGACTCCTCAACTCAGCAGGACTGCTGTGCTGTTCAGGGTATCCCTTTCCCTGTGCCACTGCTTGAAATTGCTTCTAGGCAGGAGGCTGGGCAGTTGCTAGGCTCACTTTTTTCCTTTCTCCCAGTGCTCGCAGTTCATGGCTAATTATCCAGTGCTAAGAACGTGTGTTTTATAGAGTTTGTCCAGTTTTCTTTATGGCAGAAGGGCATGGAGTAATCCAGTGCTCCATCATGGCAGGTGATACATTCTTTTATTGTACTGCTGAATTTTATAATGTTTTATTTCAGATTCATTGAATTATGTGTTTAATGAGCTCAGTTTATGTGGCTCTCATTTGTGGATGGTATACTACTGACCCTAAACCTATTCCTCTTCTTTGTGGGGCTTAGAAATGTAATAAGGACTATGGTAGCATAGTGCCTAAGGCATTTGACTGCTAACCAGAAGGCTGGAGGTTCAAACCCACCAGCCACTCCTCGGAAGGAAGATGGGGCATCTACTTTTGTAGTGATACTGCCTTGGAAACTCAAGGAGGGGTTGCTATGAGTTGGGCTGACTTGATGGCACATAACAACAACAACAACCATAACAGGGTCACAATTAGCATTTAGTGGGTGAAGGCACCCGTGAAGCTCTGGTCTGTGATTTCTCCCCTCATCTCTTTTCTTTGTGCTTCCTTTGTCCAGTTTTGGTAACAGGATTTTATTGGTCTCTTAAAATGAGTTGAGAAGCTTTCCACCTTTTGTTGTGCCCTGGAATAGTTTAAATATGTACCAGGGACAGATTTTTGACAGTTGGTAGAACTCATGCTTAAAACCAAGTCTCTTTTAGGTAGACCTGCAACTCTATGGTTATTTATATATTTAAATTTTTCTGAGTCAGTTTGGGTAACTTATTTTCCTAGCAAAATCATCCATTTCATTTATATTTTAAAGTTTTTCTAATATAACTTTTTAATAGTGTGCATGTGTGATTTTTGTTAAGTCTCTCGGCATTCTTTTTTTTTTTTTTTCTGATACTACTTATTTTCTCTTGATTCTTGAATAGATTAGGCAGACTCTGGTTTTTTAAAACTCTTAAAAACTTTTAAAATGTGTTTATTGTCCCTTTTGCTAACTTCTTGTTTTAATTGTGTCTAAAATAGGTCTTCAGTCTTGTTTTTAGTGTGTGTGTGTGTGTATATATGTGTATATATGTATATACATACACACACACACACACACACATAGCATTGTCCCACTCCAGTTCTTCAACTTACTGTGACTTGCACTTAGGGTCTATAGGGACTCCTTGAAGAAGAAGGAACTATTGTACAGTCTTCTCCTTTACCTCTTTTGAGTTGAGGTTTTAGTCCTTAGTTTTGGTGTCTATCTGATCAAATGATACATGAATACAAAGTTCAGCATTCAGATAAGGCTACCTTAATAATCACCACTCCAGTACCAGACCCTTCTGCAGAGGTTAGCCAGTGCTGTCCCTTTTACATTTACCTTTCAAACTGTTTCCTGTGCTTTTACTTAGCATCTATAGAATTCTTAGAAATATAAGGGATGTAAGTGTATTTGTGTATGTGTTTTGGTCATAAATGGTATCCTACTGTATTTACTGTTCTTAACCTGCCTTTTTCACTCAGCATTGTGTCATCTTTCCATTTCATTACATGTAGATCTACATTATAGAACTTTCTAGTAATTGTATAGTATTTGCGTGATAGAGTTAACGAGCTCGGTTGCTAACTACAAGGTTGGGGATGTAAGTCTACCCAGACATGCCATGGAAAATACTCCTGGTGATCTGCTTCTGAAAAATCAACCCTGGAAACCCTGTGGAGTGCAGCTGTATTCTGACATAAGGGGGGCTGCCAGGCATTGGAGTCAACTTGACAGCACCTGGTTTTTAGTATTCCCTACTATTTGCATACCATATTTTATTTAGCCATCTACCTAATGATGGAATTTTAACAGAATTTTTCTTTCTTGGTTCCTATCAGGACTGCTAAGGAGCCCTGGTGGTTAAGCACTTGGCTGCTAACTGAAAGGTCAGCAGTTCAAAACCACCAGCTGCTCCATGGGACAAAGATGTGGCATTCTGCTTCTGTAAAGTTTCATAGCCTTGTAAGTCATAGGGGGCCGTCCTACTCGGTCCTATAAGGTTACTATGATTAGTAATTGATTTGACAGCAGTAGGTTTGTGCTGCTTTAAGACATTCTGGTGCATTCTCCCTGTGTTTCTCTGTTTATTACTTCATGAGATAGGAAATTTAATGGCCATACAGTATATATGTGTTTTCATGGATTTTGCCAATTTGCCCTTTAGAAAGTTCCTTTCACTAATAGCTAATTTCCCATATCCTTAGTGTACTTTTAATACTTTTTTTGTCAAACTGATAAAATACCAAAGTAACTTATTTTCTATCTGGTTTCTGTCTTCCTAAAATTCTTAAAAATTCCCGATCCATGGTTGGCATCTTTCTTGTGCTGTAGTGGATATCCTTCTGAATATATCTTTTTTTTTAAAAAAAAATTTCTAAGATATCTTTGCTATCACCTTAATAGACTTCAGAAGAAAGGGGAGATGAGTTATGTCCTTAATCCCCTATCTGAACTGTCATGGGTGCTGGATTATAGTTGAGAGTATTTACTAATTTGTTTTGCACATTAGCCTCTACATACCCATGATTCAGATTTCTGACTCACATATATCTCTACATGTCAAGGATCTTTGGGGTCAACTCTTACATGCTTGAAATGGTGTACATAAAATCTGTAAATGTTGAGATTTGACTATACCTTGGCAGAATGGTATTAAATGATGTTACCTTTTCAGAGATAATTTTTAAATCTGGAAATCTGTTACATTACTCAAAATGTGTAGGAAATGATTTTTGAAATTCTCATTTTCAGGTGCTAGAGTATTTAAATGATCTGAAACAATACTGGAAAAGAGGGTATGGTTATGCTATTAATAGCCGATCCAGCTGTGTCCTGTTTGAGGATATCTTTCAGCACTTGGACAAAGCGGTTGAACAGAAACAAAGGTAAAAGTTAGAAGAATTTGTAGTATGTTCTGAATGCCCACTTAGGCTTCTAAAAAAATATGTGTAATGAGTAGTTCTTAGTGTTTTGATATATTTTAATATAATATTTGACATTGAAGAATTATGTAACATATATGTAAGTGATAAAGCTTACAAACTCTCCACTCAGTCTAAGAACTAGAACATTACTAATAAATTTCATGCATTTATTTATTTACGTGTTTGTAAAAATGGTGGGTAGAGGCATCTGACGTCTCTAACTTCACAAGGGGAACAGAGAATCACTGTAATTATCAGCCCACTGCCTATTCCCGTGAGGGGGAGGTTAGGTGTACCTCCTCTCTCCAACCTTTTTATCAGTTCTGATGCCAGCTGTCCTTTTCTCAGCACTCTCTACTCTTCTGCTGGGTTCAATAATTCATTGGAATGGCCACAGAGAACTCACAGACTAGCCATGTTCACAGCTGTGGGGTTTATTTGAGAAGTAATAGGTTATAATTCAGGATCAGAAACAACTCAGGATACAGTTCTTCAATCAGGACAGCATCTTCTCAGCTGTGCCACAAGCAGTACTTTTCTGGCCCTTGGCGCTATGGGCCTCTTAGGTCAGCCTGGCCTCTTCCCTGCCTGGGCAACTGTTACAAAGCGCTTTATTCTGCCATTAAGCATCTGGAGACACTGGTAAACCTCCATCAGTAAGCCTTGGCCCGAGGCCAGTAAGCCTTGGCCCAAGGGGCTCAGCTCTCTCATTCCATGGATTGGTGAGCCAAGCTCTGTCAAGTGCCCTTCGGCATCCCTCTCCACCAGCCAGCCTCCTGCCTGAAAGCTCTCAGGTCTCTTGCTCCATCGACCATCATGTACCATCTCCTGGTAGCCTCCTGCTTCTGCCTCTGCTGTGGCCATTTTTCTGCTGCTGCTTCTCACCATCTCTGGTGTTAGAGCTGTTTGTCTTCTGGGTCTAGGAGGTGCCTGACATGGGAACCCCAGGTTCAAAGGGCATAACTCTGGTCCTGTCTTTCCTTGGTGATAGTCGCATTCCCCCTTTGTGCCTTGGTGATGGCTCATTGTAAGCCATCATTGGCAAAACTGACTAATCCCCTTATTAGAGTTCCACATACCTTATTTGCACGGTCCCACCCCCACAAGGGTGTACCTTCATTTGCATTATTAGCAAGTGGTGTAATACCCTTGGTGGGCCACAAGCACCTTATTTATGTGCATAGTCCTTCCTACCCAGTCATTTGGTGGCAGTTAAGACCATGACTAGAAGGGTCAGGTAGTAGTGATCTGTAGCATTACAGCGTTCCTCATCTGTTCTATTCTCATGCCTCTTGCCCCTCTACACCTTCTATCCCGAGTAACTACTATTCTGAATTTTGTGTTTATCTTTCCCTTACCTCTTTAAAAATAACTTCTATCATGAATGTACATGTACCTAGACAATGTATAGTTTTATTTGGAGTCATACTGTTTGCTGCCTTTTGAGGCTTGCCTTTTAGCCTCAACATCATGTTTATGATGCTTATCTTATTGTTGCATATAGCTGTAGTTTATTCATTTTCACTTTAATATAGTATCAATAGAGTACATGTACCACAATTCATACCATCTACTCTTAACAATGGAGTCCTTGGGTGGTGCAGTTAGCGTGGTCAGCTGCTACCAAAAGGTTGGAGATCTTGGTCTACCCAGAGGTAGCGAGGAAGAAAGGCCTGGCAATATCCTTCTAGAATATCAGACACTGAAACCTCTGTGGCATAGTTCCCTTCTGACACACGTGATGTTGCCATGGGCTGGAATCGACTACATAGCGCTGGTTCTTTTGTGTTTTTTTTTTGACTCTTATTAATGGAAATTTAGTGTAGTTTGTAATAGCAAAAATATTACAAATAGTGTAATTTGAACTTTCTTATACATAGTTCCTGGTGTGGATGTGTAAATTTTTTTAATTTTAGAGAGTTTCCTCATAAGAAAGATGTTACTTTGATACTTTTCAAGTTTTTGCTTTTAAACTTTCCATTATTTGAAACTTTGATAGACTCTAAACCTCCATTTTATTTGACAGTTAGGCCTCCATGAAGTCTTGTACATTTATAATCAGAGACAAAAATCATGCTATAAAGATGTAGACAGAAACTAGTGGTAATGTATTCTATTATGTTTCCAATGCTAAGTTGTTTAGAGAGAAATTTCTTGATTTATGGATATGACTCTAGTTTGTGCAGTTTTTTCAGTCTGATGGAAGTTAGGGAAGAAAAATTAGACTGAGTATTTAGTTTCTGCGACCAAAAGCTTTGTTTGTTTTTCGGTCAAGGTAAGTACCTTCTTTGAGACAGGAGTTAACTTTTTTCCTACTTGGCTTTATAAACGGTTTATAACCTTTGGACTTCATGAGAAAGCAAATTTTTACTATTTGTTCATCATTCACCCCATTGAAGTTATAATAACTTAAAATTGTGTCAGAAAAATTCTTATTTAAATAACATTTACAAGATTTGCTATCATAATATGATCTCAGATTTAAAGCTTATGTAAGAAGCTTTTCATTAATGCAACAATAATGCACTGCTGTCGAGTTGGATCTGACTCATAGTGACTCCTCCTTGGGTTTCCAGGGCAGTATCACTACAGAAGTAGATTGCCCAACCTCCTGAGGAGTGGCTGGTGGGTTTGAACCACTAGCCTCTTGGTTAGCAGTCAAATGCCTTAGAAGCTTATCATTAGTATATTAAAAATAACTGAGTATTCTGTACACTGAAAGCTATAAAACATTGCAGAAAGAAATTAATGGTGACCCATATAAATTGAGAGATGTACCAACTTTATGGATTGGAAGACCCAAGTTAATCTGCGTTTCTCTGTATTTGCCTTTTTGGCCATTTCATGTAAACGGAATCATACAAATACGTGGAGTTTTGTTTCTTTTTTTACTATTTTCTTTGACTTAGCATAATGTTTTCAAGGTTCATCCACGTTGTAACACATTATCAGCACTTTGTTCCTTTTCATTGCTAAATAATTTTCCATTAAATACCACATTTTGTTTATTCATACATGAATTGATGAATATTTGGGTTATTTATTCTTTTTAATTGCCCTGAGTATGCTTTTGTTAACATTCGTAAGCAATTTTTTCGTAACCATATATTTTCATTTTACTTGAGTATATGCCTAGGAGTGGAATTACTGGGGTGGGAATAGGTCATTAATTTTGGCTGTTAATGATTGTTGTTGTTGTTGTTAGGTGCTGTCAGGTTTGTTCCAACTCATAAGTGACCCTGTGTACAACAGCATGAAACACTGCCTAGTCCTGTGCTATCCTCATAATGGTTGCTATGTTGGAGCCCATCACTGCAGCCACTGTGTCAATCCATTTTGTTGAGGGTCTTCCCCTTTCCCATACACCCTCTGCTCTGTTAAGCATGATGTCCTTGTCTAAGAATTGGTCTCTCTTGATAACAGGTCCAGAGGACCTAAGAAGTCTCGCCGTCCTCACTTCTAAGGAGTGTTCTGGCTGTACATCTTCTAAGACATTTTTCTGGCAGTCCACAGTATATTCTTCACCAACATCATAATTCAAATGCATCAGTTCTTCTTCGATCTTCTTTATTCATTGTCCAGCTTTTGCATGCATATGAGGCAATCGAAAAGACAGTGGCTTGGATCAGCTACACCTTAGTTCTCAACATGTTGTCTTTGCTTTTTAGCATTTTAGAAAGATCTTTTGCAGCAGATTTGCCCAGTATAGTACATCATTTGATTTCTTGACCACTGCTTCCATGGACATTGATTGTAGGTCTAAGTAAAATTAAATCCTTGACAACTTGAATATTTTTTTCCATTTATCTTGATGTTGCTTGTTGATCCAGTTGTGAGGAATTTGTTGTTTTATTTTTAAGCAGCTTTATTGAGGTATAATTTATATAACATAACAGTCACCCATTTTAAGTTTCCAGTTCAAAGATTTTTAGTAAATGTATAATGTAAATGTATAAAGTTATGCAACCATCACCCCAATTCAGCCTTTGAACATTTCCATCACTTCAAGAAGATCCCTAGTGCCCATTATCAGTCATTGCCCATTTCCACTCCCAGCTGCATCTAACCATTAATCAACTTTCTATCTCTATAGATTTGCCTTTTCTGGATGTTTCATAGAAATGGAATCTTACAAAATGTAGTCTTTTGTGTCTGGTTTCTTTCATGTAGGATAATGTTTTCAAGGTTCATCTATGTTGCATGTTTCAGTACTTTATTCCTTTCCGTTTTTTTTATTATTTCTAGTATTGCGTTACATGGACAAGGAAACCTGGTGGTGCAGTGGTTAAGCACTAGACTGCTAACCCAAAAGTTTTGGTTTAAACCCACCAGTCTCTCTGCAGGAGAAAAGACCTGGAGACCTACTCCAGTGAAGATTGCAGTCTAGAAAGCCCAATGAGTCAGTGTCCTAAGTTAAAGTTGGCTTGTTTATAGTCATCCAGATCATGTATGTAGGAGCTCTGGTGGCATTGTGCCTAAGGCATATGACTGCTAACCAGAAGGCTGGTGGTTCAAATCCACCAGCCACTCCTTGGAAGGAAGACTGGGCAATCTATTTCCATAGAGATATTGCCTTGGAAACCCTAGGAGGGGTCGCTATGAGTCAGATCCGACTCCACAGCAGTGAGTTTGGCTTTTTGTTTTAGATCATGTATATATTGAGAGGTTTTGTTTTGTGTTATCTTAAAATGAAATTGCAGTTTTTAGCTTGTTTTTTTATAATTTACTTGCTTCACCCAAAAGTGAAGTACAGAGGGAAGAATGCAACTAATTGCATGCTCCGTTATGCTAGATGGTAGCTGGTTGGGTTTTATATACTTAGAAGCTAATGAGATTAATTTTTACACATGACTTGTGGAAGCAGCTAAAGTATTATAGAAGCAATGTGATAGGCAGATGCTTGGATTTGGCTTGAATCCTGGTTCTGCTTTTTTGATACTGCACATTCCTCACTTCTGAAA